TATTAAACTAAAAATAAATTACTTTATTATTAAATCTAAATTAAATTATAATAAAATTTTGAATTAAAGCAATTACACAGAAAAATGAGAACTTTTTAATTTTTTTTAAATTTTATGATATTTTTAAATTTGTATTTTATTAAAAAAAAAAACATTAGTGTTTGCTCAAAACTACATAAAACCTTATTATAAAATTGATAGAGACCAAAAAATTAAAACGAAACATTACAATCAAGCTATGTCTCGCTACATTGTGCGAGTTCCCTTCTAGTAATTCTTTAAAAGTAATGTAGAATGTATTTTGTTAAATGGTAAACAAAGATATGATGGGACTGGATTGAGCAAGACATGTTATTTGTGTGGAGTTTGACATGATTAACACCGGACAACATTAGACTTGACAGTTTACCCCTGGTTAACGTTTAATGGGTTTCTGTGGTGATTAGTAGTGGCGCAGGAAGTGGAGGTGGTGATGGTGGCCCGTGATTGACACTGGTTGTGAAGGTAGAGATGGTCGATTTTGTGGAGGTAGAGGTGGTGATGGACGATGGTAGTTATTAGGGGTGAGCAGCGGAACCGGGTATCCGGCTATGGAACCGGAACCGCCTTGGAACCGCCTTGGAACCGGAACCGATATGAGTGGTTCCGATTTCGGTTTCTAAAATACGGAACCGATTGAGAATGGTTCCGGTTCCGGTTCTCAATTTTTCGGAACCGTTACCCACCGGGTACCCGGTATTTTAAAATAAAAAAATAATTATTATTTTTTAATACCAAATTTATATTAGGTTTACATCTTGAAAGTACGCCGTCATCTTCATTCTTCATCTAAATTCTTCATATAGAATGATTCGTATTTTTTTAAATTGTGTGTTCACATGGATTCATAGTATGTAATCGTTAAACTTTGAAAATTTACCATTATAGTATGTAATCGTTAAACTTTGAAAATTTTCTATTATTCTATTATGGTTTGTAATCGTTAAACAATATTTGTAACCATTATTATACATAATTTGTATTCTTGCTTATTTATTTAGTGTTTTGGCAACGTTTTATTTTTTATTTCTAAATAACAAAATTTTAATAATTTAGGAAGCGGGTACCCGGAACTGGAACCGGTTCCCGGCGGTTCCGGTTCCAAAAATTTAAGAACCGCTCTAACCGGTTCCRGTTCCGGTTCCAATATCTCAAGAACCGCCGGTTCCGGTTCCGGTTCCGGTTCCTGTCAAAAAGGGCGGGTACCCGCCTATGCTCACCGCTAGTAGTTATTAAGGATGGAACACAGAATCTCAAGCACAACTGTAAACTACACCAAGATGTCTTTTTTTTTTCTCCCATTCTGATTTTGTTACTTCTATCCATGGTTTAAATTCATCTTAAAAGCTATTGTTTTTATCTCGTTTTCAAGGCAACATATGTCTCTTTTAGAGGTCAAAAGTCGATTTCATTTGAAAAAATGTATTTTATTCCCCAAATCAATATAATTGACTTTTCCCAGGTCAAACCATGTGGACTTTCTCCCAAGTTAAACCACTATTTTGTGGACAATTGATCCACCTTAAAGGTTGAATTGCAGAGAACAATAATGGTAAAACAAATTTTTTGAAGTATATATAATATTTATATACGACAAATGCTATTAATGAAATAAACTTACACACCATTCTCAAATTTGGTGTAGTTTGAACCCATGACCTCCTAGCAGGCCGAAGACTCACATACCACTAGGCCAAAGTCCATTTGGTTGATAAAACAATTTTTGATGATTAAAAATAATGCATTTC